ACCCTCTGTCTGGCATGTTTTCAGAGGCAGTTAATCACACAGGAGATCGTCCATCCTTCTCCTGAGGAGCAGAATGTGGCCTCGAACCTCCTGCCTTTAGGATTGGAGTGCAGCTTCTTGCCACTAGGCCACCAGTGGTCCCTTAGTGATTAGTTTTATTAAATAAATAGTCTTAATATTGACATTTGGGGGGGGTGTATAAAAGGATTTTTATTCCAACTCTACCTTTTCTTTTAGGTGTTTTATTTAGTTATTTGGATTTCCCTTCATTCATTGTTGCACACTTTCCTCCCTGCCCACCCCTCCCCCCAAGTTTGCTTTTCTCTTTGACAAGTAAAAAAAAAAAATAAAAAATTCTTTCATTATTATACAATCCCCTCCCCCGCCCCCAGTCCATTCTGCTAGGCAGGTTTCATTCTGGACTCTTGTCATGGCAATAATACTTAATCATATATTCCTCCTAAACAGTTGTCTCCCTCATCTGTTTCAATGCAGTGTATATTATTTATTTCTACTTAGTTTCCCCCCAACTCCAGTGTCAGTCCAGCTCTACAACATTGGCATGATGCAGTATTTGTCCTATTGTGACTGAGTTATTTCACTCAGCATAATGTCCTCCAGGGTCACCCATTTTGTATAATATTTCATGAGTTCCTTGTTTTTCAATGAAGCATAGTGTTCCATTGTGTGAATATACCACAGCTTCTCTATCCATTCATTTGTTGATGAGCATTTGGGTTGTTTCTAACTCTTTGCTATTGTAAACAAAGTTGCGATAAACATGGGTGTGCATATAGTTTGTGTGGCAGTCTGGTTTCTTTAGGGTATATTCCCAGTAGTGGGATACTGGGTCAAATGGTATTTCTATTTGCAACTTTCTGAGAGAGTGCCATACCGCCTTCCACAGTGGTTGCACCATTTTACACTCCCACCAACAATGAATAAGGGTTCCCATTTCTCTGCAACCTCGCCAGCATTTGTTGTTTGCTGTTCTGTTAAATTTTGCTATTCTTACTGGGTGAGAAGATATTTCATAGCTGTTTTGTTCTTTTAGTGCTTAAAACTGTGATTTGAGTGAAAGTTCAAAAAGTTTTTTTCAATCATTTACACACTTTAAAAAAGAAAAAAACAAACAAACCCATTAATCCACTTTGTGTATATTGTCTTTCCCATCATCCTCTCACTAAAAGTCAATTTATTTTTACTCTTCCCCCACCCCTAGTAACCATCCCACAATGGTTCTATCTGAAACATATGGAATGTTTTATGACATTTTCTTGTCATCCTCTCAAAGGGGTCAGGCTAATGTTCTCTATATTGTTCCGATTTTAGTATCTGTCATCTCACATACTTTGGGCATGTTAGGAGGGGTCAGACTTTGGAAAAAGACATTATGCTGGGACATGATGCTTCCTTCATTTACAAGGCAGAAGGCCATCAATAGAGAGGAAGATGATAGATTGACACAGAGACTGCGGCAATGACCTTGAGTGTGGTGAGGCAGAGGGCAGGGTTCCATTGCTAGTTCACAGGGTCATTAGGAGTCGCAGTTGACTCAATGGCACATATCAATCAACAACAGCCACCAAAGGAAGTATCTACCAGCCATTCAGGGTGCTGCCATCGTCCCATTACTATAAAATGATGCGCTGCTCTCAATATTGTTTTCCTTTTTCACCACAGAAGGAAGTCTGTGACTTAGATGCCTTAATGTGTGTTAGTTGCTTAGTCAAAAGGTGTTTGCACTTAACTTTTTTTCTTGAAAAAGATATGCTAATGTTGCAGTGGTTAGTTGTCTTGTCTTGCAATTTTGCTGAAAAATTGATACCTGATTCACTCCTTCTTCTAAGAATGAACACACTGCAGATTAACCAAAGGAGCCCTGTGGTGCAGCAGTTAAGCGATCACCTGCTTTCTTTTTTTCACTCCCCAGCTCAAAGACACATAACAACAACTGCTCCTCAGAAGAAAAGACTTAGAAATCTGCTGCTATGAAATTCACACTCTGGCAAGTTGTGTGAGACAGTTCTACTCTGTCCTATAGGCCTGTGCTGAGTAGAAGTCAACTCCACAGCACAGACAGTTTTAATCTAAATTTCATTAACAATAAGCTTATGTAAATTTATTTCTGTAATATTGTCATTATACCTTAAAGACACAATCAATCCCTTTATTTCCACCATCTGCTTTACTTTTTATTATTTTTTTGTGTGTACTCTCAAATCGGATCTGACTGGTACAGGAGGAGATGACCCCTCCTTCTCCAGCAGAGCATCTGGTGGATTCAAATCACATACCTCTGGGATTGCAGTTGCAGCTTCTTGCCACTAGGCCACCAGCGCTCCCTTGTCTGTATTACTTTAAATTGTTTTTTATTCTACAGATATGAAAATTTCCCATCTTAATCATTTTTAAGTCTCTAATTCAGGGACATTCGACTGTTCATTGCATTAAGCTACCTTCACTATTACCCATTCCTGAAAGTTTCCATCAGCCCAAACAGAAACTCAGTTGATGTGTCATTCAGCTCTGACTCCCATTTCCTCCTGCCTCCAAGTCCTTGGTAACCACTAATAAACTTTCGTCTCTACGCATTTATTTGCTTATTCTGGTTATTTCATCTAAGTGGAGTCATAGAATATTTGCCCTTTTGCGTTAGTGTGATGATTTCAAGATTCATTTACTTCATCGCTTTTCTCCGGTTTCATTTCTCTTTTTGTTCATGGACCTTGAGCATCCTTGAGTTGTTTCCACCTTTAGGAAACCTTCCCTATGTGTGAATAGTGCTGATGAACACTGATACTTAAGTATCCGTTTGAGTCTCTGGTTTTCAGTTCTCTAGGGCATATAAGTAGGTGTGGAATTGCTAGGTCATATGATAATTCTATATTTAATTTTTTGAGGAACCACCAAACTGTGTTCCAAAGCACTTGCCCCATTTGACATTCTTACCAGCAAAGCACTGAGAGTTCCAATTTCTCCACATCCTCGCCAACACTTGTTCAGTTCCCTTTTAGCCATCCTAGTGGGTGTGAAGTGTTATCTCATTATGGCTTTGATTTGCATTTTCCTAAGTTTAACAATCTTGAACTTTTTTTATGTGCTCATAGGTCAGTTGTCTATCCTCTTTGGAGAATGTGCATTTAACTTTTTGGTAAGTATGTTCAAGCCATCTTCCTCAGAGGCTGCACTAATTTATACCAAATGCTGGACCTCATTTTTGTTTCTTAATTTAGATCTTTGAAAAATTACATAAGTAATATTTAGGCAACTTTTTTTTTTATGAAGAGACATACAACAGGCACAGAAGAAGGATTGTCCTATCATACTCCACCCCTTGCTCAGATCCTTTTCAATGATTTGGGAATTAGTCCTGCTTTTCTGTGAACCTGCTTATGTTGGCTGTACAATCTTATTTTTTCATTCAGTAAAGTATTTCTGAATGCACTTATGTCATGTCTAGCATGTTAGAAAAGCTTGTTTAGCCTTCCAAAGTATGAATATAGATGGAAAAGTAAAATTTTTTCCCTTTCCCAGTGTTAAAAAAAAGTCACATTTCTTATAAACTTAATTCACAGAAATAAGGCTATTCCTGAACTTTCCCACTCTTACTGATTATTCCTATGCCCATTATATTTCTCGGTATTTAATTACCTAGTATGTCTACTGTTTTACAAAATGTGTAAGTTTCTATTAGATGGCAACGAACTTAGGGCTTTAATGCTATGACCATCCAGTAGGTTTTCAGAAGCTATAAATCACACAGGAAGAGACTGCCCATCTTTCTCTTGAGAAGGAGCTGATGGATTCTAATCTTGTGACTTTGAGTTGGCAGCACAACTCCTTACCACCGGGCCACCAGGGCTCAAACAATGAGTCTTCCCATTCATGTACATATTATCTTTCCCTATTTAGGTCTTATACATTATCCTTCCCTATGAACCTGGAGAGAGGATGAAAGGCACCCAAGCATCGAGGACTCTCCTTCACAGGGTCGCTATGAGTCGCCTGCAACTCAACGGCACTTAACAACAACAACATTATCCTTCAGTCCAGAAATAATCTCCCTCCCTCCCCCCCATATAGGTCTTTTTTTTTTTTTTCCCATATAGGTCTTAAGAGTTTCCTTATTTCTTCCTTTTTAGTTTGTGGGTTTCATCATTGTGAATGGAACTCTTTCTCCCCCCGCATATTTTCTCTATTGCTATTGCCATTTAGGAAAGACACTAATATACAGGAAAGATACTAATATGTGGCCTTCTTCTCTATAAAAGCATGACATTTGAAGTACATGTAAAAAGGTTTCCAAGGTCAAGTAAGTATGGGCTGTTGACGGGTGTTGCAATCAGTTTAAACTCACACTGGCCCCTCACGGCACAGCAGAGGTGCTCCGCAAGGTGTCCTGGGCTGTGATGTTTACTGAAGCAAATTGTCAGTTTCTTCTCCCTCTGAGCTAGTGGGTAGATTCAAACCACTGATTCTTTGGTTAACAGCAAACTTTGTGCTACCAGGGCTGCTTAAGTACGGGCTAAATGAAGCTAAGTTTCCTCATGCAGTCTTCTCAAAGCCATTACTACACTTTTGATGACTGGGAATTCCCAAGAAGGGCTGGCAAATATTTCCTATACTTGTTTGGTCACTGAATCCTTTGTCAAAAGACACCGTGATGCAAATGGTACTTGATACTTGAAACATGTTTTGGGCAACAATGCACCCAAAACCCTTTCTGTTGTTGCTGTGGACCTTAAGAGTTGGAACTGACCCATAACTGACACTCCAGCGGTTTTCAGAGCAAATCTGACTAAAATTGATTGTCCATCAGGCCTCCTGCAGAGCTGCTGGTGATCTGAACTGCACACCTTTGTGCTGGCAGTACAATTCCTTACCACTAAGTCACCAGGACTCCCAAAGCCCTTTCTAGTGTCTCATTTTTCAATCCTGGGGTTTTCAGAGAACTTTACCAAACTACCAGCCCATTTCAGAACACAGAAGACAATCCAGTGCCAAAGTGAACGCTTTAATGAGTTCTGCACACAGAGAACCTTGTGACTTTAACAGTTGCTGTCAGCTCGCACTGGGCAGGCTGGCTGTGGTCAACTAGCTCCTGGGGGTAAGGGATCAGGACGCTAAAGAGTAAGCTGGGGCCAAAGGAGGTTCAGGAGGCACCCTGTCGGGGCTGAGCATCTGGGAGTGTGGCTGAGAGGTGGGAGCCTCAGGCCGGCCCCTCTTCAGGCATTCCTAACAAAGCCACAAGGGGTTCGAGGGGCGTGGGGGCCTCAACGGGTGCAGGGTGGGTGCGTTCGTGCTTGCGCAGGTCGCTGGCACTCAAGAAACTCTTGGGGCAGTGGGGGCAGGTGTAGGGGCGCACGGAGCTGTGGGTGCGGCTGTGCTTCCGCAGGCCTGCCCGATCGGAGAAGCTCTTGCCGCACTGGGTGCAGGGAAAGGGCCGGAGCTCCGGGTGCGAGCGCTCGTGCCTCCGCAGTAAGGTCAACGTGGAGAAGGTCTCCTTGCATTCCCTGCATGTAAACTGGGGTGGCTTCTCATCTACCTCCTCATTCCCCACCTCACCTGACCCCTCCAAGGGCCCAGCATCCTCCCCCGCATTCTGGCATTCCACGTGCTCCACTGTCATACCCACCACTTGCCACTGCGTGGCCATCACCCCACCTGAGTCTGGAGGCAGCCCCAGCAGCCCTGCGGGAGGGTCCCCGAGCCCGGTACCAGCTCCAGGGGCTGCAGAGCCCTCGCCCGCCACTCCCACCGGGAGCGCCAGCCCCACCACGAGCTCCTGTTGCGGGGCGTTCCCTGCGGCCTCGCTGCTCCGATGGGTCCGCTCATGCTTCCGCAGACTCGAGGACACCACGAAGGACTTCCCGCAGGCGTTACAGTGGAAGGGACGCTCCCCCGAGTGGACGCGGCTGTGCTTGGTGAGGCTGGCACGCTCGGCGAAGGCGCGCCCGCACTCCTCGCAGCGGAAGGGCCGCTGGCCCGAGTGCACCAGCGCGTGGCGCTTGAGGTCCCAGGACGCCACGAATGTCTTGTCGCACTCCAGGCACTTGAACGGCCGGTCCCCCGTGTGCACCCGGCGGTGCATGGCCAGGTCGGCGGGCTGCCGGAAGTCCTTACCGCACTTCTCGCAGTGGTAAGGCTTCACGCCCTCGTGGGCACGCTGGTGGCGCCGGAAGCTGGAGGGGTCGGAGAACATGCGGCCGCAGCGCGGGCACAGGAAGGGCTTCTCGCCCGAGTGTGTGCGCTCGTGGCTCTGGTAGGAGCTGAGCTGCGTGAAGCCCTTGCCGCAGGCTGGGCAACGGTAGGGCTTCTGTGCTGCGTGGATGCGCTGGTGACAAGTGAGCGAGGATGAGCGGGAGAAGCTCTTCCCGCACTCGGAGCAGAGGAAGGGGCGCTCGCCGGTGTGGGACCTGTGGGCACAGAGAGGGCATGAAGGTGATCCCGCCACCGCCTGCAAGTTAGGGGCCTTGGCACAAGCTCCTGAGAGCCGCAGGATCGCACCCCTGAAAAAGAAATCTTTAAGGTACAGAGATAAAGCCCACTGTGCACCAAAGATCTGGATGGACCCCACACACCTCCGAGCCACCCCACTTCCAGTCCTGCCCCCAGAAACTTGTCCAGACGACTTCACCCATCCTCCAGGGGTCCATCCCAACGCAGGTGGCCTTGGGCACTCCCTGAGGACCACCGAAGCCCCCCTTCCCACTGGCTACTTCCAAACACCCTGAGAATAGGCCTGGCCCTACTGGTCAAAGGGCAGCCGCTGAGGTTCCACCTCCATCCTACACCAGCCCTTTCAAAGCTGCCCATGCTCCTTGCCCCCTTTGCTGACCTCACCCCTCGGACCCTGCTGCCCACACTCCTGGCGTGTGCTGCCCATGCCCTTCGCTGTCCACGCCAGTTGCCCCCTGCTGCCCCCTTTGTCCCCACCCTGGTGCTCACCGCTCATGGTTGCGGAGGTCCTTGAGCTCAGCATAAGCCTTGCCGCAGCGTTCACAGCTGTAGGGGCGCAGGCCGGCATGCGTGCGCCGGTGCTTGCGGAACACCGATGGGTCTGCGAAGCTCTTGCCGCAGTCTGCGCAGGCGTAGGGCCGCTCCCCGGTGTGGCCTCGCTGGTGGATCTTAAGCTTGGACAGGGCGCCGTAGGCCTTGGGGCAGTGCGTGCAGCGGAAGGGTAGCTCGCCGGCGTGCGAGGCCAGGTGCACGCGCAGGCACACGGGTTGCATGAAGCGGCGGCCGCACTCCGGGCACGGGAAGGGCTTCTCGCCCGTGTGGCTGCGTCCGTGGCTGCGCAGCTCAGGGGCCGTCTTGTAGGCCTTGGGACACAGCGGACATGCGTAGGGCCGAGGCTTACCTGGGGCACCAGACACCTTGTCCCCACTGGCATCCTCTGGCTTGGGTTCGGTTTCGGGCCTCGGCTTCACCTCAGCCGCCTCTTTACCATCTGCAGGCCCATGTGTGGCAGCATGGCGCGCGGCCCTGGGTGCATTTGGAAATGTCTTGGTACACGACAGACATTTGTATCTGCGGCCGGAGCGCTTGTAGCCTGGGGCTGAACAGGGGGCCTCAACGCTCTCTGCCTCCATGGCCTTGGTGAGCCGGGCTGCGCTGTGAAAGAGGCAGAGTTAGAAGCCACCACATCCCTGCGTCATGCTCCAAGGTCTCCCTTTACCAAGTCCTCCGACTGCTCAGAGGAAACTGTCCTATCTGCATATTTCACTCAGGACCCCGCATCCTTTTTTCTGAACACTCCAGGCGGGAGTTTCTAATCCACCAACTGCTCCTCAGGAGAAAAATGGGCAGTATCTTCCCATGCTATTTACTGCCTCCAAAAACTTGCTGGAGGGTGTCAGCTATGGGTCGGTTCTGACTATGACACAAAACAGCAACAACCTGGCTCTGACACTTCACTCTCAAATTCTCCTCTCAGGTCTGCTCACTGATGAGAGATTGGACTGGATGACCTCAGAGAGATTAAGGAAGGAGGTCACCAAAAGGGCCACTTGCACGTCCTTTCCCCAACCTCTTCCGGCTTCTCCAAATGTTATGGCATCCCCAAAGGGCCAAGATTCCATCTGCCTCACCATCTTCCTTGGTTAACTTCTGGGTCCACCGTGTGTACAACACAAGGCTGTGGATGTCGATGGTGCCCAGATGGGAGCCTTGCCTCAAGGTCTCCAAGTGCCCAGGGATGGCAGACCTGAGACCAGAGGAAGGTGGCACCATCTGTCTGCCAGTGACAGGTCCCCAGCATGTGTGCTGTGCCTTTACTCTGTGGGTGGTTAGCTGCTGGGGCAGCAACTGTTCACACAGAGCCCTGGCGGGGCACAGCTGTAAGGAACTCCACCCAAGACAGGAATCCTGGTCCACCCTCAGCTCTGGAATCCCTACTGGCCTCGGGTTCCCATACCTCTGCCAATGGGGAGCTCATTCTCTCACAAGGCAGCCACAACCACTGTTGGCAGTTAGAAGCTTGAGTCATAATCCACATACCTGATCTAGCAGGTCTTTCTGGGACCTGGTGATACCCCGACTTTCTTGGTCCGAATCCCAGCCACTCTCCACCCAGATGCTCCCAGGGATCATGATGGGTGGAAATTGGATTGACAGCTGTGTTAGTCTTAACCCCAGCTCATCCTCCTAGAGGATGAAGGGAAGAGGATTATGGCTGATCCACTTAGGGAGGGCTCAACAGCAGCTGCTGAAAGAGGGGTGGGAGCAGAGGGAGGATACGGGGTGTAGAGAGAGGAGAGGCAAGTATACCCAGGGACTAGGCTGGGAGGTGAGAGACACGTGAGTCCTCCTTGCAGGCCTGGTGTGAAAGACCTCGATGAAATGAGCGTTCCTCTCCAAGTCCTGCTTTCCTCATCTGTCCAACTTGGTGGCTTCTAAGTGAGGGCAATGAGGCTGAAAGAAGGCTGAAGTTGAATTGTGCCAGGGAGGTGGTGGGGTAAAGGACAGGCTTCTAGAGGCTCAGGGCCCCTTACCCGGGAAAGGACTGCACGAACAGTTTACTTGGTTGATCTGGGGAGAACACATGAGCCCCTGGAGCACGCAAGTCCTCAGGGTCAGCTTGGGGACCTTCCTCAGTTTCCCCTCTTCCCCATCACAATCTAACATTCACAGACATGGGTCAGAGTCTTCTCCCTAAGGAACCAAGTGATGCTCTGTGCCTTCTGATCAAAAACTTTCCATAGATTCCAACACATGGTGATTCAAGTTGCCAGGAACTTCCTGTCTGCTCCCAGTCCCATTGGTCTTTTGCTGGACACCCCCCTCTACCCCACCCCCTCACTCCTGCTTCTCTATCTCCCAAGTATCCACCCTCAATTCCACACAAGTGCTGTTCTACCTTCAGCTTGGTCTTTACTTTCTCATCCTGGAGCTGGAAGGTAAGCCAAAGGGCTTCAGGTCCAGTCTTCCCTATGCCTTGAATGGCCCCAGTAATTTCTATGGGATCCCCTCTCCTGGGGTGAGGATCTTCACTTCCTTCCTTCCTACTGTCTCAGCAGTCGGCCTGATGGAAGATGCCTCCAAATTGAGAATGACAGCTCCCATTTAACAGAGCAGTTGTCAAATATCAGAGTGTCCTAAGTTCTTTGCATATCTATGCATATCTCACTTAACTTTCATGTCAGTACCAAGCTCTATTAGAAGGCCCATTTCACAGATAAGGGAACAGAGGTGCAGATAGGTGGTACAGGATTGTGTTTAACTGCACAACCTCTGAAACCAGACTTCCTGGCTTTGAATCTGTCCCCATCACTTCCTTGCTGACATGACCTTGGGCAATTTACCTCATCTCTCAGAACCTTAGTTTTCTCATCTGGAAAATGGAAGATAATAACAGTACTTACCTCACAGGACTGGGTGGGAACTGAGTGAGATAAGAATAATTACTGAGTCTTCTGGAGGAGGGGGGGCGGTGTACTCTGTCCAGCAGGCTACATTACTTCATTCACTCACTCATTCCTCCCATAGTGATGATTGTCATTTTACAGACAGGTAAACTGAGGTCCCAGGAGCTCAAGTGCCCAGTCAAATCAGAGTCCAGATCTATTGAACTTACTTTCTCTTGGGGTCTGTTCAATCATCTAAGATTGCTAAACTTCACTGCCTGGGTCGGCAGCCCCATGAAGAGTGGAGGTTCCAGCAGGCTAGGCCTCTGCCTGGAATCTCACCACTGACGTCTCCCTTCAATGTCCTCTGAGGACTCTTCCCACCCATCAGCTCCCTAGGGTGATTATTTTATTTCCATTGAGTCTGTGAATACATGTCCAAAAAATCAATCAGGGAGTTTGGGATAGGACTCTGTACTTTAAATACTCCTCTAGGTAATGCTAAACCAACGTCTAAGAACTAAACACATAATCCTAGGTCTTTGTATGCCCCTGGTCAGGGGGGTGATTTCCTCCTCCCTTCACCCCTTAATATTTTCTTGTCTTTCCCATGAAGGTTCACACAGTGAACACCATTCAACAATTTCTACCCTGTGTAAGCTGTTCTGTGAAGCTGGTTATTACAGTTCTTCACAGCCCGAGTGATTTTTCACTGTTTCTCCTGTGGTTCTTCTATTTCCATTAATTTGGCGTCTGGAGGAAGAATTCTGTTGGCGTTCCCCAAGGCCTGACTCCAAGTCCTGACCATTTCTTGAGGAAAGTTGGTAAGGGGACTAGATGACCAGATCCTAATAAGGCCTGGAGCCTGATCACGTATTGACAGGACCCCGACCCCCAAATTCCTGAGCAAACTACCCTCTCCTCTAAATCTCCTTAACAGCCCCTTAAAAGGAAACTGTCTTTGCCTGCCAGCCCACCTTTCTGTTCCTCTCTGAGAGCGATCACCTGGCATCTCTCTCAGATCTACTTAATAAAGGCCTGTTCATTTCCTGGGACGAGCTTCATCTTGCTCTCTCTCAACTCTTTTTTTCCTATCCAACACTATGTATTTTATCTTCATATTGATAAGTAGCCATATTCACACACACACACACACACACACACACACACACACACACACACACACGTCGAAAGTGAACTGCAATCCCCAAAGTATGTGGTTCAAATCCACCAGATGTCCCACAGAAGAAGGATGGGCATTCTCCTGTATGATTACTGCCTATGAAAACCCTCAGGAGAGTCAGGTATGGTTTGGTGCTGACTTTACAGCGAACATCATCATATCTACACATTAATACCTACACAAGTATTTTCTGGTTGTTTTTGCCGTTTTAAAGTTATGTCTACCACAGCAATTACTCACTGACTGCGGTGGAGCTAACACTGACTTAGAGCTGACCTTCCACTAGGTCTCCACCGCTGTAAATCACACCGGAGGAGATCGCCTATCTCTCTCTCTCAGAAGCGGCTGGTTGAGTCCACCTCAGCTCCCTGCGAGCTAAGTCTTCACAACTCCCTTAGCCAGTAGGGCGGGTTGTTTCGTTTTGGTTTTTTCCCTGGAGGATCAACGCAGAAGAGGAAGATCCTGGATGCAGTGGATTGACACAGTGACTGAAGTAGTGGGGGCTGCTGTGTACAACTAACTCAGAACAGGGCAGGGTTCATGGGGTCGCCATGAGTCATCGTCAACTCGATGGCACACAACAATAACAAACTTTGCAGTGACATCACTGACTTTGCCAAGCTGCGACACATCACCCTCATTTGGTGTTACGTTTCAGAGGGACGCATTTGTACTGCTACACAGAGGTGGAGACAAAAAACTTGTCCAAGGGTCTTATCCTCAACTCTTTGGAGGACAGAACCCCCCTCCTCTCTTGAGGTGATTTCATTTTTATTTAAGAAATAAGAAATTTAAGAAATTTCTTACTCTGCCTTTAAACTATAAAAGACCAAACAAACCCGTCACAACTTGCCCAAGGACACATACTTAACCACAGAGCTCAGGTTCAAAGCCAAGTCTCCAGGCCCCTGGCTGGACTCTTTTTCTCATCAGTCTTCATTCACTCAAGGTTTACTAGGTGACATTCCCAGACAGAGACCAGGATCTTTTTCATGGCCAGCAGAGTTCCAAACAGGACCAGTTGAATTCTTGCCTACCTTACCCCGAACGTTCTCGCCCTAGCTCATCAGGCTCCATCCACACACAGCCCCATTCTTTATCTGCAGTTGTTGTTGTTGTGCGACCCTGAGTCACAACCAACTTATAGCTGAGCCTTCAGTGGGTTTTCAAAGACAGTAAATGTCACAGGAGGAGACTGCCCATCCTTCTGGTCAATTCACTGCATGCCTAACTAAATTCCTTCCTACCTCAGGGCCTTTGCACTAGCAATTCCCTCAGCTAGAACCACCAGTCCCAAAAGACCCTTGTGTAGCTGTCTCTTTCATTTGAATCTCAGATTCTTTTTCTGGGGCTTCCTTAAAAAAAGGACGAGGCCAGAGGTTAAATGTTGGAATACTAAATGAAAGGGCAGCTGTTTAAACCCACCAGCTACTCTGCAGGAGAAAAATGAAGGAGTCTCCTGTTAAGAAGTCACTCACTGTGCAACAATGAATGAATATTTAAAAAAAAATTAGGGGAGGCAGAAAGGGGGGTAAAATGAATGAATGAAAATCTATTATGTAACCTTTTCTTAGAATCACAATTAAAAAAATTACTGTTCATTGAAATGAAAAATAAATAAATTTAAAAAAAATTCCTATGTCACTGTCATTAAGTGGCTCCTACTCATAGGGCTTTTTCTCGGGTTTCCAAAGCTGTCAAATCGTAAAATAATTTCCCAATACCCCACCCTTCCCACCCCTGGGAATCCATAGTAAATTTAAATTACTTTGGACATTAGAATTCTCTTTGGTAGAGTTCTCTTTAGTAAAGATTTATAGTTGAGTCAGTTAGTTGGTATGGTTTTATAAAAAAAAGACATCCTACAACCAGGGAGAAGATAACGTAGATGAATGGGATCTTCTAAGACTCAAATCCCTATGCACATCCAAAAACTTCTCCAACAGGGTAAAAAGGGAGGCCACTGACTGG